ACAAAACCAAAACATTAACCTTAAAACTCAAGGCATGTTTTTAAATAGCCTCATCAGATCAAGACTTTCATATTGATCTCATGCAAACTTATTCAGAAATATCTAAACTATCAGCTATATACAACCATTTTCTCAGATTAATGGTTAAAATGTCTTTGAGGGAGTGAAGCATGTAGGTCTCAGTGAAGACCATCCTTGTTTGAACCTGGCACTGCAGAATCACAAAGAACTGTTCCAAATAACAGAAACCACATCACTTGAGGACTCTCAACAGCAGCAACAACAATAATGGCTAACACAAAGAGAAAATAATGGCATAATCAATTAAGTTAGGAAGGAAACTTCCATCAATACTGGCAATAATTGGACTCGAGAAAACTAGTTTCCTTAAAAAGTGAAAGATTTTCTAAATTTCAGCTGACAATAGCACTAGCTGCTGGTTCAATGAATGCCGAATGTTTCCACATAAGGAAACATCTAATATAACCATTACCATGAGTAAAGTGTAAAGAACAGTAGATGTTATCTAGAAAATGAATGTGCCAACTAAAGAAGAAATTAGTGCTACCATGTGCCAACTAAAGAAAAGAGTATATTTAATATTTAATTTAATATCTTCTAAATAGCCAGAAATAAAATATATAGCAATAAATCATTGAAAAACATATAAAAAATGATTTAAAAATTCATATATTGGATTAGAACAGAAGTTTGTAGTATTTTTAAATGATTTCAAATAATCAGTATCACCCCATGCAAGGCAGTAAAGCCACTAAAATGCAAGGGGTTACAGGGTGTGGAAGAATTAGGAACAGAAATATTAATGAGTGGAAAGAGAAAAGAGTAATCAGGAAGACAGTAGATAGCGAATGATATTGCATTTAAGTTTTTTCAGATTAAAGTTGACTGGAAAGCATGGAGCCAGAAGGGAGTTCCACAACAGAGAAGTGCAAGAAATAAACTGTTAGCATAGAATTTATGGCTACATCTATCCAGCTCAACTGTAAATTGATGAGATCTTGATGCCAGTCTAGTACGATGCTTAAATTCATAAAGTCTAGGTACCATAGTGAAGAGCTCATCCAAAAAATTACCATGAAAGTATTTATTGAAAAGGCACAGAGAAGCAAGCTTATGGCAGTGGAAAAGTGACTGAAATCAAGCTGCCAGATCAGGACCAATAATATTGCTGATTCTTCTTTGGATCTTATCAAGAAGTTAAAGGTAAATAGCAGGGGCATCGAACCATATGTGGCAGCAATATTCTAAGCATGGATGAACGGTAGACTGTAAGATAGAATCTGAAGAAAAAAATTGTTTTGCATGACACAGTGAACCAAATTTCTTAGCAGCTGACCTAGCAATAGATTCAATATAGTCTTTCCACTTCATATCAGCTGAGAAATGCTGAAACATATTTTGGATTGTAAGAATAATTTTTTGTTGAATGAATATTACAATAACAATTTTTTGAGAATAACAATGATTTTTTTCAGATACAAGTCCTACTATTTAACCCATAGTTGGGGAAATGGATTCATTCTCAAGGTTATTTGTGCATAAGTGAAGGTAACAAACCTGACAGGAATTTGAACTCAGCTCTCCGATATCTGATCTTGAACTGCTATTACATCACCCACATATTCATGTATCTCAGTGATATCCCGTGTTGACTTGGATTAATTTTAATCATCATTTTAATTTAGTCATCATCAATGACTATATGCCTGCTAGAATGTTCTTGGTCATCCAGATCAAAATTTCTGCTTTAAAACTTTTGTAAATTGGAATGATTATATTAAATCAATTGCTGGGTGTGCTGCCAGGGAAGTTGGTTCACTGTGTTGTGCTAAGCAATTTTCCTCATCAAAACCTGTCTTGCATCTTTATAAGTCTACTGTTTGTCTGTGCATTGAATTTTGATGCCACATCTGATCTGCTGCTTCTATTATGTATTTACAAATTCTTGACAAAATCCAAAGAAGAATCTGCAATGTTATCAGTCCTGACCTGGCATTTCAGCTTCAATCACATTCCCACAACCATAATGTAGCCTTGATGTATCTCTTCTATAAATATTTTCATGGCAATTGTTCTGATGAGATTTCTATTTTAGTACCTTTATCAATTTAAGTGCAGTACTAGATTGACAGCTGGGTTTCATAATAATGTTGAAATTTCTAAATGTAACTGAAGGTTCTATTCTAATAGCTTCTTCTCTGGCATTTCTTACTTATGGAACTTTCTTCAACTGTCAACTATAATCTTTAAAAAATCAAATGCAATGTCAGTCATCACATTCCATTTTTGAATCCTTTTTTTTGATTACCCTTTCTCCTTAGTAATGTTTTTCAGTTTAATAAACATTTAAAATTCACAATCCATATATGAATTACATAGAATATGTATGTATTTTAGTCACATGTGAAATGAAATCAGATGTACAAATGCCACCTATTGAAAAATTCTATAAGCCTTTATACGAACAAAAATCATATAAAATCATTAACTACATTTAGCATCTGTAGATATAATTTCAAAGATATTGTAATTCTTGAAGGTTTTCTTATACATTTGTTGCACCTCCAAATTGCTGTGGTTCCCAGGTTCATACTGACCCAGAGTGGTAGCACCTGTTAGGATCCCAGCTATGGGCAAATAGTGAACCTCCACACTGGGATCAAAATACTATAAAAGTGTAGAAATGCATTTTCATAGTGAAGGTGCCAGCAAAGCATTTTCATAGAAAAAGAATTACCAGCAATATATTTTTGTAAAATAAATGACTAATGGTCCCAAGAAAATTACATTTTGGCATTAAGTGATCCATAGGGAGTTGATATGCTATTAAACAAGCAAAACAAAAACAAAATTATAGAGTTGTCTATGTTTTGTTCCTTAGGATTTTGTTAGACTAGAGTGATGTTTATATCGATGTAACTACATATGCACATGAAGGAGAGTGGGTGCTGAAATTTTAAACTTTTAAATATAATTTTCTTTTTTGGCAAACATGAACTTTCATGCCTGCAAAAATATGGAATGTCAAAAGGACAGATTTTCCCATGTCACCACTTTTATTTTAACTACTCCTCAGCAATGTTCATTGTTTTAAAAAGCAATGATTAGAATTGTAATAAAACCTAAACATATGATAAAAGTGAATTTATACATTTTTTTGTTTTTGAGAATTGACAAAAAAAAAAAAAATTAATCACTATTTATTTATTAGATTGTTTTATTTACAAGAATAATTTTATATTTAAAACATTCTAAAAACTAATACAATTTTATTAAGAAGATAAACGAAATGCAATATTTATCATTTACCTGTTTATAAATAACTAAATATTGAAACAATTTTTATTCACAAATTTTTAATCATTTACTAAATTATTAAAATATGTAAACAAGCTATAAGTAAATCCTTATCATTTTATAAAGTTTGAATCAATTGTCAATTAGCCGATGTTTTGCCAGTCAATCTAATAAATAAATAGTGTAAATAATCAATCTAATAAATAGTGTATCTATATTTCTGTGATTAGGTATTGTAACTATTTACACTATTGATATTGTTTGGACAGTTGTTCTCAACTTTATTACCATATTCACAACGTTTCAGCTGTTGTACACTCCGCTTTTATGACACAGTGGAATTAGAACAATCTACCCCCATGGACTAAATAAAGGGTTTAGTTCAAAATTCCAACTAATATCACCTGAAGACGGCTGGAGTATACAATGGCCGAAATGTTGTGAATATGGCAATAAAGATGAAAACAACAGTTTGAACAAGATAAATAGTGTAAATAAATAGTGTTTATAATTTTTGCTACCAATTCTCATGAACAAAGAAAATTTATAAATTCACTTTCATCATATGTTTAGGTTTAGGTTTTATTACAATTCTAATTGAAGCTTTTTAAAACAATAAACATTGCCAAAGCATGAAGGTAGTTAAAATAATAGCAGTGTCAAGGGAAAAACTGTTCTTTTGACACTCAGTCTCATTGTTGGCATGGAGGGCCATGTTTGCATCTTTTTTTTTTTTTTAGATGTGTTTAGGTATATAGTCTAACCAATTTAATTTAGTTTCTTTTTGTTTTTGTTTATGCTTTTATCACTTTTGTTATAAAGTATCCCACATTGTGATAATAGAAGATCTGCCAAGAATGGTGAAATGTTATAAGAACCTGGATGTAAATTTACTATGGATCATCTACATTCCCCGTGTCATGCTATTTTTTTTTTTTTTACCAGAATCTATCTTGCATCTTTATAAGTCTGCTATTCTTCCGTGCATTGAATTTGGTCAACACACTTGGTCTAGTGCTTCAGCTATGTATGTAGAGATTCTTGACAAAATCCAAAGAAGAATTTACAATATTATTGGTCCTAACCTGACATCTAGGCTTTAGTCACATTCCCACCACTGTTACATAGCTTCCCTGTGTCTTTTCTATAAATATTTTCATGGCAATTGTTTTGATGAGCTTTCTTCTTTCGTATTCCAACTTCATGAATTTAAGCATAGTACTAGATTGGCAACTAGGTCTCATCAGTTTAATGTTTAAACTGCTAAATGTAAGCATAAGTTCCATTCAAATAGTTTCTTCTCTCACATTTCTCACTTGTGGAACTATCTTCTACTTCTTGTTTTCCTGTCAACTATAATCTTCAAAAATTTAAATATCAATCGTTATCTTTTATTTTTGTGAATCCTGGTCTTTTATTGTCCTTTCTCCTCAATAACATTTGCTTACTTTCCTTCACTCTCAGTAACCCCTTGGGTCTTAGTGGCTTTATTGCCTTGCTTGGAGCTAAATGATTAAAAAAAATGGGGAGTGCAAACATTTATAAGATCATTATAATCAAAATAATGAGTGACATGATAACAGTATCAATTGCATTGAAAATAATAAAATATTTTCAAGCAGTTTTAGAACGGCAGAAAGAGACAAAAAAAGAAGAAAAGGCAGAATTCTGAATAAGCTTACCATTTATTTGGAAATCTGGGTAAACAATCACTTTTTCAACTTTTACATTCCATTGTCTCCATTTCATTTTTCGAAAGATTTTTCCAAATATGTGCAGAACTTTCTCTCTAATGTTTGGCTATCATGAAGAAAAAAAACTTTTGTTAATGATGGTAAGAAATAGTAAATGAAAGCTGTTGCAGAAATATACTAAATAAATATACTAAATATATACAGAAATATACTAAATAAAAATTGCTATGTCACAATTAGGTGAATTTGGATCTAAAATTTTTATTGCACAATATTTGATCTCTGTGAATTATATTGATTACTGAATTGAATACATTAACCAGGAAGGAAATTACAAAAACAGATTTATGTGAAATAAATGATTTTATCATAATTAAGCAGTGGCAATTACTCATACATTGTCTGCCAACATGACCACTCGGGGGCACTATTTAGGACTATAAAAAAAAGGAACATAACTCTTTTTTTCTTCCTATTTTTTGCTTTCTGATATAAAATAACATGGAATTTGTCTCAGTTGGAGGAGATTTTTTTTTCCTTGGCAAAGCCTTGCTGCCAAACCAACTACTCAATTTTAAACAAATTGTGTGGACATCACACATTATCTCTAAGTACATAAATGTTTTCTTTTCTTTTTGAACTATCTGTATACAAGTAAATATAATTTTCTGTTTCTCATCTTTGATGATGAGAAGTGTTGTACTTTATATATATATATAATTCCACTATGTGTTGAAATTAATTTCTTTTAAAAATGTTGAATTCATTTTGTTTACTTCTCAGCCTGTCCCAATTCTTAAACAAATTCAACTGTTACATTGTACCAACTCCACTACAAACTGGTGACCAACAGGAACCTTGTCCAGTGGTGGACTGTGCAGAGTGTCAGCTTGCCCAATGACAAGTGGGCCCCTGATGGCATGGGCCCCTTATATCAAATAAAAATACAAGAAAGAAGCAAACACAGACGACTGTTTTAGTACAAGGTAAACAAAAAGTTCTGTCCATTTTTTGATTAGTCATTGAATGAAGTTGAAATATATACGAAATTCGTGTAGCAATTGTTTTCAAATTCAGACAGCCGGAAGTAGGAACATCAGACATTATAAAAAACACACGCACCGTGCCTGGCCATCAGTTATAAGCCAGACAGCTGTGAGAAGGATGGAAGTGTCTAGAGATCTCGTTCGGGGATGTCTGCTTTATGACTTCAAAGTGGGCTTATCAGCAGCTGCATCAAGTCGCTGCATTTGTCAAGCATTTGGGGATAGTGCTGTGGATGATCATACTGCAAGGCGTTGGTTTCGAAAATTCAAGTTGGGAGATTTGTCTCTCCATGATGAGCCTCGCAGTGGACGACCACAGGTCTTGAATGACGGAGTCCTGAAGGCAGCCATTGAAGAGGACAGTAGTCTAACATGTGGTGAACTTGCAAGACAGTTCAACGTTTCTAATGAAACAGACTTCACCTGCACCACCTAGGTAAGACATACAAACTGAGCAAGTGGGTTCCGCAAACACTGTTGGAGGTCCACAAGGGACAATGAGTGGCAGCCTGCGTATTGCTGCTTTCTTGCCAGTGATAAAAAGTGGGTTCTGTACGAAACTCCCAAACGTTTCAGACATTGGTTGTCTCCTCAGGATGCTGTCCCCCACACCGCAAGACTGCCTATGCACAATACAAGATTATGCTTTGTGTCTGGTGGACAGGTCGTTAAGTGGTTCATTATGAACTGCTACCAACAGGCCAAACAGTCATTGGAGACCTATACTTGCAGCAATTGAAATGTGTGCAACAGGCATTGCACCAGAAGGAGCCAGCACTGGTGAATCGCAAAGGTGTGCTTTTCCTCCATGACAACGCCAGGCCGCATGTCATGCAAGTGGTCAGGGATACCATACAGCAACTTGCGTGGGAGACTTTGTGCCATCCACCTTATTCACCTGACCTTGTGCCATCCGATTATCCCCTCTTCCACTCCCTGGATAATCATCTTCGTGGGAAATCCTTCACCAATGAAGCAGACTTGCGCAAAGCCCTCACGGACTTCTTTGCATCAAAACCCCCCGAGTTCTACTGCAAGGGCATTGAACAGCTGGAGACACATTGGCAGAAGGTGATGGATGCCAATGGTGACTACTTCGAAGACTAAATATAAGTTACACATACTGTGAAGCATTTTCTTTTTTTCCTTTAAAAACGGACAGAACTTTTTTGGTTACCTTGTAATAAAAAGGAATAAGAACTTTATGTCATCTGCACACTATCAATTAAAGTCCAATGTGAGAAGACATTTTCAAAGCTAAAGATCATACAGACAAGGTTAAGAAATTTGTGATTTAAGGAAGATTTGAAATCATACATGTTGCTATTCACTAAAAAGGAATTGTTAGATGAATTGGTTGCAGAAGTTATTATTGGCAGATTTGAACAAATTATTTAGTGATGACAAATTATTGATTTTAATATAATTGACTGCATGCAATGCTCTGTTGTACTTTTGAACTATTTGTTAATATGTAAATTGTGCAATAAAATATTTAAAAATGTCAACCAATTGATTAAAATTAAAAAAGAAAATAAAAAAAATTCAATTATAACATTCTGTATTTACATTTAATATCTACTGACAGTAATAGGTACAGTATATGTACACTAATTACTAAGAAATACACATTTTTTTTCCACAAAAATTTTTATCATACCCATTTTTTCCAAATGTATTTTTTGAAAATGTTATTTACAATGAAAATTAAATGGTAACATTGTAGTTGTGGGTGGATGCCCTTTATTTTCTTGCAGTTAATATTTTTAGACTCAGTTTACCACTGACCTCATCCATTTCAAACCTGTCACATCTATTCTCCACAAAGCTAAGTACCTCTGATATAATTATCTAAATGAATATACAAGTAGGTTTTTATTATATATCACGTTCTCTAAGATAATACTTAAAATAAATAATACCAAAATAGATACTGGTTAAACACTTTGTTGGATTACTGCCTCCTGATAATAATCACAGGCAGCATGATATTTGGAAGCCTTTTCCTTTTTCCCATTGACTTTCAAAATGACAAGACATTTTTCTTTTTGCTCTGATAAATACAAGGCATGTAATTTTACATTGATTTAAACATTTTCTTCATTGATTATTCATACATAGTTAATTCTTTAATAGTTCATAGATGTTTAATTCTTTAATAGTTTACATTTATTTAAACATTTTCCCATATATAAATTTCATTGATTGTTCATAGATATTTATTTTATTCAAAATTATTTTTTTAATTTTATTAATTGTTAAATTTTCAAATTAACCACAACATTTCTAAGTAACAAGATTGCAATGGCAATGATTTTTTCTTATTTCTAATTGCTCTGATGATGCTGTTACTGAATTAAATTTTGACAGCAGGGTAGAAACAAATTTAAACATCCAACTAGTTTTTATACATTCTGTCTCATTTAAGTTTTTTTTATATTTCATATCAATTATAGTTGGATTGCCACTCCTAACTAAAATTACAAATGCTACAATTTTTGAAAGGCTTGCTCAGTTTTCCTTTTGACTTCAGGGTAGCAATATATGCCTTTTTTTTCACCCTGCTAAACACATGACTTGTTCAGATGCATCAACTGAAGATGGTGTTGAGTTTTTGATAATGATGTTCATTTCTTTCCTTACTTTTATGTATACATGTTTTTTTTAATACATTTATTATCACTTGTTTAAATTCCATGTATTGGGTTTTTATTACTTGGACTCACGTGAGTCTGCAAAATATTGTTCATGGGATGAATAGTACATGGAGTCATGAGAATGAGAACTCTTTCCAACCAACAACCCATTTTATCATGAATAAATATATGATGTTTGTAACTAACAACCAACAATTTTGGGGTGTTTTTAAAGTTAAATTTCTTAGAGTTTTCTTCCATTTTTAGTCCATAATTCTCTTTTCATTGTGTGATATATGTAACCTTCATTGGCTCAATTCTAAAGACGTATAAAAATTTATTGCAAGTACAATGGAAATACAAAACAAATATTACTGGATTCTGTCTGAATTTCTGGGATGTGGAGTTATCATTATTTACATTATTTACAATTATTATTATGAGCCTCTTATAGGAGTCAATGGCCAACATATATATATATATATATATATATATATATAAAGAAGTAATGGATTTTATTTATTAATCTGACAGATTTTTATCAGTTTAAATGTTATTTTAATTGGATACTCATATTTGAGTCGAAACTCTCTTTACTTATTAAACAGTATCTTTTTTTCATTTACAGGCCTGAATATTTAAAGAAAAACATGCACTATCCAAAAGGATTTGAACCTGCATCCCTCTGGGTAGGGGGAAAACATCATTAGATCTTGCATGTTTTATCTTGCCGGAAAGCATATATTTTTCTTTGATTTCTCAATCTTTTTTTATTTTCAATCTTTTTTTTTATTTTTATTTGATTTCTCAAATATTCAGGCTTGCAGACAAAAATAAATAAATATGCTTTTCAATAAATAAATAGAGCATGTACTCAAATAAGAGTATTGACTAAAAATGTTTAAAGTGATAATATATATATATATAGTTAGTTAGTTATTAGTTATTAGTTCTTGTTCCCTATGGAATATTGGTCTCCTTTTAACGCCACGTCCAAGGATGTGTTATATTATGATTTTCAGTGGTAATTTGGATTCACAAGTGGCTCCCAGCATATCTCTCTCTCTCTCTCTCTCTCTCTCTCTCTCTCTCTCTCTCTCTCTCTCTCTATTTATATATATATATATAATGCTAGGAAGGGGTTTCAAGCCTTGAATGGAAACCTTATTAGAGATGCTGGGTACTTGGGCTACCATGAGTGTTGATTTGGGCATCAGGAAGAACATCCAGCTTTGTAAAATCTTGCCTCAAGTCATTATGACAAGTCCTTTTGTCAGGCTGGACCCACTTTGTGCAAGATTAATATTGGTCCTGCCTCAACAAAAAACATGGCTATGTATGATATGTATGTACAAATCCGACTAATATATTCATCTTTGTTGTTATTATCACATTTCAATAGAGTCTTAAAGCATTGGTTTGTGAATGTGGTAGTATGTTAATTTTGAGTTCAATTCCTTGACTAGGTACTGCAGACTCATACTCAGTGAAGTTAATAACTGAGCAGTACTAAAAAATGGACAAGATGAGATATCTCTAAATATAGATGGTAGAACAAGAACAATCTACCCTATAGATTAAATAAAGTTTTAATTTTGAAATTTTCTGAAGGTTGCATAGATTGACAGACATTTAAAAAATGTCAGAGGATACAATGACCAGGATGTTCTGATAGTAACAGCAAATATGAGGACATTAGTCTGACTGTAAATAATGTAAACAAAAAAACTACTAATCAATGTATCATATTCTGGATTAAATCACCAATGAAGTGTATAGGTTCAAAGAAAAATAGGAATATGAATAGGGAAGGCAAAGAAGATAGAAAAATCCACAAACTTTTAAAGAAGTTGTTGCCATTCTAGCAGTCCAACTATTTGCCGCAATTGGTTTTGAACTGAAAGTAAACAAAAAGCAAAAGACAGTTTAAAAATCTTGAATAATTTTAATCAATCAATAGGCACTTAGTTAAAAACAATACTCAAATATTTAAGACAATTGAGAAAATTAAACTATAAACTAAATTTTCAATATAAGTTATATTATTTACACTATCTACATTGCTTGAACTGTTGCCCTCATTTTTATTGTTATATTCGCAATGTTTCAGCCATTATATGCTCTGGCCTTCTTCAGGTGATATATGTTGGAATTTCAAACTGAACCCTTTATTTAGTACACAGGGGTAGATTGTTCTAATTCCATGTGCCATGCCATTTTTGGTGGGGGATATCTCAGTTCCAGTTAATTCCCTTTAGTAACACAGCTCTCCAAGTTTTTGTTCCCTCTGCTGTGACCAGGTATTGAACTCAAAACTCTTTGGGTCAAGTCACTGGATTACTTCAACCAAAACCTTTATCCACTGGCCACAGCAGAAGTGAACAAAAACTTGGAGAGTTGAGTTACTAAAGGGAATTAATTTAAACTGAGATATCCAGAAAAGGCATGGCATGTGGAACTAGAGCAATCTACCCTGGTGGACTAAATAAAGGGTTTGGTTAGAAATTCCAATGTATATTACCTGAGGAAGGATGAAGCATACAACGGCCAAAACATTGTGAATATGACAATAAAGATGAGGACAACAGTCTGAACAATCTAAATAGTGTAAATAGTTACAATACGTCATCTCAGAAATATAGACAGATAAGTTGTATTATCAGATATTTTTTATTATCTGATTGTACTATGAGATATTTTTTGTGGTTTTACTAGAAAAATTTATTTAATTCCCTTCTGGTTGACTAAGCTCATTGAAGTTTTACCAGAGCTCTATTGACCATATATTTTTGGATCTGATATATATTGACATATACTTCCAGTGTTTCCTTTTTCAATCTAACTCACCTGGTTTCATAAGAAGTTGCTACCTGCTTATCATTTTGATGTCACACATCTACTGTCGTAAACCATTTGGTTAATTTCAATGGATAGATTTTTGTCTTAACTCCACACATAACTGCTCAATGCCTGCACTGAACATTTAAGCTACTTTGGCCTATCACCAACATCTGCTCAACACTAGCACTCTGGTTTATTACCTATTTCTAGTCATGCATTAGTTTATCCTATGGTCAGCTTATCATCTTGTTGTCAAACATTCTTTGCTGTATACATTCGGTTAATTACTACAGACATGATTATTGTTTTGACTTTATTCAGCATCTGCTCAACACCACATCAAACTGACATTTCAAACATTGGCTTTTTCTGCCAACCTAACTTGCAAAGACACTACTGATTTTAAGTGCATGATAACTAACTCATCTGCATTATTCAACCATTTCACAATTATATTATTTTGTTCAACTATACCAGTCAGTATCCTTGATTTACTTAATTCATTGTTTATTGTTCAGGTTGTCATCTCCTTTCAGTTTGTTTCAACTGAAACACCATTATTCTTATTCAAGTTTTGTATCAAAATTGTATATATTATGTAAATAAATTTTTGTATTAATTTAAGTTCCTCGTTTTTGTTGTCCCTGTTTCATCCTGTCAGATTTATGCCATTTATTTTTAAATGTTTGCAGGCTTCCTGTGACTCATCTTTATTCGGACACACTGGGCCATATCATATCATATCCCACCTCTCTAAGGCGTCTGAAACAGACATCAACTTGGTTACAGAAACTATTAAAAGGGAGTTAAAGATGACACCCAGCTGCTTCAAGGGTATCAAGTTCTGGTTTTCAGAGTTGTTGTTTTCATAGACTAGTTGCCAACCAAGGCTAGAGAGTCTATGTATTCCCTGTTATAGTTGGAGTGAGAAAAGATGAATTCAAGCCTTTCTTATAGAAATTAGTGTTAAGTGAACACAAATTGTTTAAGACAGAATTTGAACTTGGCCTGCTGGTTCCATTTTTCATGTTGTTGACTATTAGGCACCTGTATCTGTATTATCTGCTAGGATTGTACAAATTATAGACTACAGCAAAACAAGAGAAGTTGTTTAACTCATATATATATATATATATATATATATATATATATATAAACAATTGAAACCCAACCTAAACAAGATCAAATATGGAATCTCTACAAATATCCTTAAATGTCTGTAGTTGGTGACGGAGGCCATTGGTTTGTGCCAACGGCTTTCCATACTTCATACTTCTCCAATTCACTCTCGCATGGTCATGTGTGACGTCATGAGATGCGGTGCAATTTTTGCTTCTAGCGTCTTATATGCACGTGTTTGTCGTTGCTTAGAGATCATCTATGTAATCATTCACAGACTGTCACCACTGCCTTGTCCATATATTGCTTAATATGTTGTAATTGACATCTTTGATAATGGCTTATGTAAGCCGAAAGCTTAGATTGTATTAAAAAATAATGGATCAATATTGTGAATTTCTTTCTTCGTTCAATGATAATGTTATTAAACTTATTAGACGTTATGAAAGAGTTTACATAAAATAAATAGACAACACTTGTCTATATTATTTAATGAAATGTGTATATATATGTATATATATATATATATATATATATATTCATACACGTTTCATTAAATAATATAGACAAGTGTTGTTGATTTATTTTATGTAAATTCTTTTTCATAACATCTGATAATGCTGCCTAAATACATATATATATATATATATATATATATATATATATATATATATATATATATATATATATATTATGTACTTATTTCAAAGCATTAGAGATGAAAGTAACTTTGAAAAACAGTTAATCAAGGAATAATTTTTATGCAATATTCAAATGTGCCTGCTACTGCAGTTAAAATCTCATGCCATGAAGACATTGAGCCCATGAAAGCCACATTGTCCCTCCAGCTCTCATGGTATTGACAGAGCATCAGAATAGCCTCCAGCACCAGATTAATCTGTTGAAGATCCTGGTAGATGACATCCTTCCAGCATCTGTGTGATCTGCCATGACATTGTTGACTGTTTTCAAATGGTGGGCCAAATTGGTCACTGACTCGTAGAGTTGTCATCAGCTTATTGCAGAACATGATCGAGCCAAGAAACATAGTGCTGAATGATGGCGTTGAGGATGTTTGGCTGGCCAGTTCTTTGACGAAGCTCCTCATTTGACACAGGCATCCACTTGATGAATCTGATTATGTGTGACTAAATGTGCCTAAATAATATTAATAAATAATTAAGTGTATATATGCCATTATTATGTAATATTTAAGTGTAATTATATAAAGCAACATAAATGTGGATTTACAGAAGTATGCTGAGCATACCATAAATGGAGAATGGAAGCAACAAAGAAGTCTTATACTCAGAATCAGACACAATGTGGAAAGAAGGCTAGGATAATTTGACACTCTGTTGTAGCTCGTGTTTTCTTGATAACAGAGAGAAATAATAAGGAAGACAAACTCAGAAGTAAGTAATGAAATAGTACTACATGAAATTACACTTAGCAATTGACCTAATGCTAATTCTGCTCAATTCCACTTAACACTGCTTATATCATAGATGGACAATTCCATTCACTTATATGACACACTCACAGGACATATCAAAGTCAAAATGGATAGGAGGCAGTGGGCCACCTACCTGACCAGCTTAAATGAATATGAATTATACTTACTTTTCACCAAAAAAACAGTGAGCTGCAGACATAACCCATTGGTCAGAGATGAGTGATCCTCCACACCAGTAGTACCTGTAGACAGGGAAAATGCCAAATATTCGACTGGTGACAACCTTTGATTGTAAAGAGACCAGCCATGGCCAGCGCCCTCTTGGTATTGAGTGACCTCCTATGAGTGCCATGGCAACAGGGGGGTGAAAATTTGTGTCATTGTGGCCTGTAATGTTGGGAAGAAAAAAATGATGAAAATTAGGCTTAAAAAAAACTGATAAATTTTATCAACAGCATAAAGTACATGGCGACATGACTTCATTCCCAAAACCAATACTACATTTACTATTACAGTATATGATTTAAATAAACAAAGAGAGAAAGAAGTGACAATTACCTTTGATAGCAACAGAGAAGCTGAGTAAGTGAGTAGAAAGTTTGTTGTGTAGAAAGCCCTTCTCTACACTATTATTGAAACACAGACTCATTCATCTGCCATGAGTAGAATATCTGCTTATGGAACAGTGGAATAAAAGTGGGGCACTAAGGCATAGGTCTTTCAGTCATACTGAACTACTGTATTCTCAATCCATGTTCTCATGTGATTAAACCCTACTTCACTCAGTCCTTTGTTTCCAGTGTTTTCCTTACAGTCTTACTAACTAGCAACTATGTGTGTTATACAAACATTATAACAAAGTTTTTTTTTATAAAATAGACCAGAGCATCAAGCCATGTTCTTACATAGCCCCATTGAGACTTTCATATGGATGCCATACATGGTGCCAAAACTGTTCAGAAATATCTAAACTGTATACAACCGCTTCATAAGATCAATAGTGAAAAAAGGCTTAGAGCGGGTAACGCCAGAAGGTCTTTGCAAAGATCATCTTTCTTTGAAGATTGTGGACTAGCACTACAGAAACATAAACAAAGAGCTGTATCAAATAACAGAATCCATGTTACTTGAGAACTACCAACAGCAACAAGAACTAAAATGGATAATAACTTGAAGAGAAAATAATGACATAATCAATATGTTAACATTCTACACCAGTTCAAATAGAAGGTTTGTAAGGAAATTCCCATCAATACTAGAAAGAGTGATAACAGCTACTGGACTTGAGAAACATGTTTTCCTAAAAAGCATTTTTAAGAGAAAGATTTTTGAAATTTCAACCAAAAAAAGTACTGGCTACTTGGTTAATAAATACTAAATGTTTCCTTGTAGGGAAATGGCAAATATTACCATTACCATTGTGGATAACAAATGTCTATATAAGGAGGTAATAAATAGTGATTTCTTTTTTTGGTGGCTTTGTGGTTATATTTAATGAAAATATATATATATATATATATATATATATATATATATATATATATATATATATATATATATATATATGTGTGGGGGGAGAGTGTATGTAACTAGGTAGCAAGTGTTCATTTAAACATGTTTCATTGAAAAGTATAGACATTTTATGTCTATTAAGTTTGATTATCTTCTCTGTATTACAAATGATCTTTCACAAAACTGGCTGCTGCAGATATACGAAATTTCCAATATAATGGTCAACAGTATAAATACTGAAGCCATTGTTAAACATTTGTTTTAAGTTATTTAATTCTTTAGGAAAAATTGTTTTAGATGAAAGCTTACAGCCACATCACTGTACGATCACTGAAGTTAAACAATGTCGAGTATGGTCAATACCTAGATGGGTGACCATTGGGGAATACTAAGTGCTGTAAGCTTGGGTGTGCAGGTGGTGGTGTAATGGATAAGGAATCAGAATTATTAATCAGAGAGCTGAGTCCAAATTCCAGTCAGGTTTGTTATATCCACTTATGTGCAAATACCCTTGGGAAAAATATGAATCCACCTCTTCTCCTCCACAGCTATGGGTTAATTAGTAAGATATCTACCACTAAACCATTATTATTTTTAAAAAAAATTCTTACAATCTAAAAATATTTTCTGGCTTTAAATAACCTGCAAAAGGTTGATAAGTCATAGAAAACAAATCAATCAATGTTTTAGATGAGGAGATTAATTTAGCACTTTGGATTAAATTTTTTACAGTGGCAAATTTATATCTTTCATGACATTTATAGTTTAGGAGACAAGAATTAGAACTAGATGATTTTTATATAGTGAGGTAGTGAAATTATGATCATTATAATCAATAAATGGTTGAGTGCTCAGAATGAAAAATCAGAGAACTGAGTTTGAATTCCAGTCAAGTTTGTTACATTCACTAAATACCCTTGAGAAAGGTATGAATCCATTTCTTCTCCTTCTAGCTATGGGTTGAATAGCAGGACAGACTGAGTCCTTTAGACTGGGTTGGCAACCAGTCTACTGCAGAAAGAAATGGCAACCTACTGAAAGAAAATCTTGTCTAGTCAGTCATGAATCAAAAGAGACATGATCACCCAACCATGTATCATGTATGATACTTAATAAACTGATATTGACTGTAAAATTAAAACCTGATTTCCTGATATTTTTGTGTCTAAAATTTTTTTAATTCTAACTTATTTTTATTTGCTCATGTTCATATCATGTTGAAAACAGGTAGATTCATACTTTTCCCAAGAATATTTGTGTGTAAGTGAATATAAGTCAGTTAAGTGCCACAAGTGATACACACTTGTGTGATCATGTATCTTTCAATACATAACTGATGAAGCAGAAGATTTTCCTGCAGTAGATTGCCATTTATTTCTGCAGTAGACTGGTTGCCAACCAAGGCTAAAGAACCCAGTTTATCCTGCTATTTAACCCATAGCTGGGGAGAATGAACCCAACTAGATCTTCAACACAGCTCTCTGATTAACAATTCTGAGGCATTATACATTAAAACCACCTGCACATTCAAGTTTATATCACCCAGTATTCCCAAGGAGTTACCCATCTAGGTACTGATCAGGTTTGATGTTGCTTAACTTTGGTGATTATATAGGAACTGGTGTTTCAATGTGATATAACAATCTTCTGCCTAGTCAGTCCTGAATTAAAAGAGACATGATTGCCCAAGCGTGTATCATGTATGGCACTTAACTGAGTGATAATCAATAAGTACTTCTGGAAAAGGGATTTTTTTTATTATTCACTAACTTTTATGTGGTCCAACTTGAAAACAAAATATTTAATAATTTAAATAAACCCACTATTGATGTAAGATGCATTACTGATATTTTTTTATAGAAACAAAAACTTGACATTAGTGAACTTTAAGATAATTTTTTTTAAAAAACTCTGTTAAAGTTCACTTTTGAACTGAATATTAATTAAAAAATCTCATTTTTCTAAAAAAAGAATTGTTTGAATAATTTAGTAAATAGGAAAGAGGTCTTGGAAAATTTGATACTCACAGGAGAGATTGAAGGCAAGATGGGCAGAGGAAAACAATGCTTAACCTGTCTAGCAAACTTGTGCAAATGAATGGTAGAACAGGGTTTAGGAGAGATAACAAAAAGACAAAATTTATTAAGAGCTACAAAGGAAAAGAAATTGTGGAGAGCCATGATTGCACGACCTAAAGGGACATAGTATATATAAGAAGATACATTGTTTAATTTCATACTGTTGATTATATATATATATATATATATATATATATATATATATGTGAGTTTACATGGAATACCTATTTTGGCAACGTCCCCTTTGAGCAAGTAGACAATAACATTTTATTATAGACATACATGAAATGGAGACTCTTTAATGGGGTTTGGTGTCATGTGAAAGTATGTCACATGCTTCAGTTCTGATTTCTAGCATCACATGATTAGACAGAGTTATGTCAAGCACATATGCCGAGCCAATTATGGAATTAGTTTTGTCATTTTGTTCCCTTGTTTTACCTACTCAGTTTACAAGTATAACAAAGAATATTTGACATCATATCAATCTTCTGAGATGTGTCAAAGGCCTTTGACAAGGTGTAACATTGGGGACTGCTTCATAAACACTCCACCTATGCAGTAGCATAGCTAGAAGTGGGACTGCCTGCCCGTGGCTGACACTTTTAAGGGTACAGCACTTTTGCGTCTGCTGTATAAGCCTGTACGAGCTGTAATGAAATAAAAGTGGTTTTAATGTTGGAATACTACTCACAGGTGTGGTGATATGGTTCCAAGGGAAATCTCACTAGTCTTTGAACTAGTTTGCATCTCATAATTTATTGAGTTAATTTGTTACTTTTCCAAATGGCCCTTTTACTTGTGGCAAGGGGTGGCCAAAAGTCTTCTGGATCTTCCTGGATTCAGTCTTGGGCATTACTTAAATAGACTGGTCCACTTGTAAAAAGTAGGGAAAATTGTTCTTTGGAATAATTTTTGTAGAGTAGCATTTGTTGGACTTACCTCAAGCGACGACATTTGTCAGAATTATTGATATTTTATCAGTTTAGAAGGGGCTCTGTTTATAATATCAATACAGTGTCAAATAGTTCCCTGAATTTTGCAGAGTTACCTGAACCTAATTTTTTGTTTACAAATATTGTACCTTGAAAATGTACTTATGTTATTGATATCTTCGTATCTTTTTTTTATACTTTTGATAATTTATAAAAAAATTTTCTTAATTAATAGTAAACTGTTTTGTGAAAATTAAAAAAAAAAAAAAAAAAAATGTTACCCATAAATAATGGCTTTAAAATATATTTATATCTGTTTGTTCTAACCACTTGACCACATACCCATATATATATATATATATATATATATATATATATATATATATATATATATATATATATATATATATATGGGTGGTTGAGTGGTTAGAACGTTCAAGATTCTGACAATGAGAATCTCACCATGGTCGATTTGTCAGGAAGGAGACTTTCTGAGGTTATCAGACTGGAGGGGTCGATCCCAGGATGTGGCACCTTTGAAAAGTGCCTGAAAACCATACCACAGGTTGACCCAAGCCTTGTGAGTGAAATTGGGTAGACGGAAGCCTTGGGTCGATAGCTGTGCTAGAACAAAGTCACAAGTCATTGTGGACGAGGGCCTAAGTGTGCTAGCCTTGTTCAAACTGTTGATCATGTTACATAACACGCTCTTTCCCAGAAACTGTAACTAAGGTCTGCTCAGCATAGTTGCAGTATAAACCACAGGTGGGTTCTGTGGGTGTTGAATAAACACAAATGCACCTGATCAAGTGTCTGCAATAGGGATTGGCTAGCTTTATGTATGTATATATATATATATATATATATATATAGATATATGTAAATATATATATATCATCTCTCTCTCTTTCTCTCTCTCTCTCTCTATATATATATATATATATATATATATATATGATGGGCTCTCTTGTCAATTTCAATGATGAGAGTTCAACAGCATATTTGTGTTTAGGCCTGCAATGACTTTTAAAGCTAGCTTGTGAACAAAGTAATCCTTGTTCACTGTAATTACTTATACTTCCATAAATTAAAAATTGCCTCCCAAATAGACTTTACGTGTGTGTGTGTTTATACATGAGGGGTTGGCTAAAAATTCTTGACCAAGAAGTCCATTAAAAAACTGTGGATATTTAGTCAGATTTTGGGGAAGTGATCAAGATGTTTTCAGCACTCACTGATATGCATTATATATATATAAATATATATATATATATATATATATATGTAATGTGAACATGAAACTTGGATAACAACTTGAGCTGTCTTTTGAAAGGAATTAACATTGTGAAAGAAGTTTTTTTTGTTCTGGCTAGGTAATCTAGACATTGAGCACTTTCTTTACTTACTAGGTAGATGTTTGCCTTTAGGTCCTTTTCTTCTTTCTTTCCTTGTTGTCTGTTGGCTTCACCAATATATTTGGTTTTTCTTTTAATATATATATATATATATATATATATATATATGGAGGATAACTAAAACCTTTTTTAGCAAATGAATGCACCTAATAAAGAAAGTTAACAGTTACACACACACACACATACATATATATATATATATATATATATATATATATATATATATATATATATATATATATACGTATGTATATATATATATACGTATATATATATATATATATTTATATATATATATATATATATATATATATATATATATATATATGTATGTATATATATATGTATATATATATATATATATACGTATGTATATATATATACGTATGTATATATATATATATATATATATATATATATATATATATATATATATATATATATATATATATATATATATATATATATATATATATATATATATATATATATATATATGTATATATATATATATATATATATATATATATATATGTATATATATATATATATATATATATGTATGTATATATATATATATATATATATATATGTATATATATATATATATATATATATATATATATATATATATATATATATATATAAATTCAGATATAAATAAAAATTATCAGTAAAAAAAGACAATATGAATAAAGACAAAAGGAAAAGTTTTCCTTACTAATGCATTTCCTCTCCTGAGGGACTTTATCAAGGTAAATGTAAAGTCCTTCAGGAAATGAAATGTGTTGGATAATAAAAAGTTTCCCTCTCAGGTATTAATCCTTATGCATGTATTTTGTTTTTATATATATGCATATTTTCATGAACATTGTATATGCCTGCTACCTAAGTATAGATATTCAGAAATTATTAACTCAAAATCTATTGCTATGTTATAGGAAAATTAGTGACTTCCCATATAAGTCATGACAGATGAACAAAGGATGAGAGAAACGAACAATTTAAAAGGCATACTGTATATGAGTAATACACTATACAATGAGAATGAGAAGAGAGAATTGTTAAGCATATTCCTTTAGAAGTTAATGTCATGGCATTGGGGACAAAGTTTAAATGCATGTATCTGTTTGAACTGAAGTTGATCATATCTCTTTTTCCGAAGTTTGTTTGTCCTTGCATTACTCAAGTTTGCTCATGGTCAGCCTCACCTGCATCCATTCACTTTAGTGGCCTTTAAGCCTTTCCCCTTTGGCACCTAAAATCCATTTGGTACCTATATTTGGGTCTTATCCATTATTATCAAATAAATGAACTCATTAGGGGATTTTATCAACCAAGGGGAGATAGCCTATATTTTTCATAATATTCTGAAATTAGACCTAAAACTAGCTTATACTAAAATATAATAAAAATGCACAATCTTATGTTAATAATATATTAAATATTTGTCTGAGATTTGTAAAGCAGAGTAACTTGGTTTGAAATATTCAAAATGCTTTTTGTATTTGGATAAATTTGGCCAAAATGACTTTCATTTATGCCAACATCTTGTACAGGCCTTGTCTGGAAGAGTGGAAGAGAGATTAGACATAAACATTGATAAAAATCAATAACAACTGCTTTTTTTGTTCTTGAATTACTTACCTGTTTTTGTTATTGCCCCCATTGCTAGTACAGTATACAATGACAGGAAGAGGAATACTTGTAAACAGGAAGTACATAAAGTCTGATGCATTCTGGAATTTGCAAACAAGTAACTGAAAAATATAAAAAATTTTGGAAAATTATTAAAATGACTTTAGAATTTATTTTTTATGACTTTAATTTCTTAATCTTTTTATATTGTTGCAGGATGGTTGTCAGCATGTTAATTTTTGAACTTTTAATTTTTTTACCATTTCAAGATGATAGTTTTTTTTTTAATCATTTCACCCCAAGCTAGGATGCAGGGGTTTACAGAGGGAGTGAAAGAAAATGAGAAAACTTTAGTGATGTGAAGTGAGGAAAAGGACACTAAGGGAACAAGATTCAGAAGATGACAATTGACATTGCATTTAAATTTTTGAAGATTGTAGTTATCAGGGAAGCAAGAAATTGAAAGAGAGTTCCACAGGTGAGAAATGTGACAAACAAAATTTTTAGAATAGAACTAATGGTTGAATCTAACTAGTTCAACAGTAAAACAGTGAATCTAGTCATACCAAGGTAAGTTTGATCTAGATAAAAAAAATTATATTTCATAAGTTATTTCTTGAAACAGACCAACTTTGGTAAAATACCACAGTTCTTAAGCACATTGACAATAAAGATAAAAGATAAGGGATTAAAGATAAAAGATAAGGGATTTAAAAAAAATTCTTAGCTTTTGTAAGAAAATGAAATAAGAATGATAAATAAAATAATAATAATAAATAATAAAAAAAAGAAATACATTTTCCCATGATACTAAAAATAAAGGAACTTGATTTTTCCACGTGGAGTTGCTGAAGCCTATAAAAAGGCAAACATTTACTGCTCCATTTTGCTCCATGATGTGAACTACATGGTAATTATGTTCCCACTGTATAATGTTAATTTCCTCAGTTCATTGACAACTGAACTCTTCTCCACTTTCCAACTTTGGATATGTTTTTACAGCCCTACTCATGGAGTAAGTGAATTGGTCGTTCAAACTCAGTGCAAAGCTGACTTGAGCTGAACCATTTTAACCATTGTTATCATAAATTACCTCTGAACCAAAAAGGAAAACGGACACACCCAAGAGACATTGAGAACCTTGTTTCACTACAAACAAGATATTAAAAATGCAAAATTGATAGGGGTAAAATTAATCCTAACTCAGTAAAAAAACTAAAGTTTCCAATCTTACTCTAACAAATGGACAATTTTACTTTTACATGATTTGGACAATTTTGCTGTTACACCTGATATATTGCATAAACTTTTTCTGAAGACCTTATATATATATATATATATATATATATATATATATATATATATATATATCGCATAAACTTTTTGAGGGGACCTCATTTATATATATATATAATATATATATATATATATATATATATGCATATATTCTGTGTATTTAGGCAGCAAATGTTCTTTAAGGCAAATACTATTGAAATCAACAGATATTTTGTGTTGATTAATTTTAATGATCAGCTATTCCAAATTACAAATAATCCTTTTCAGACAAAGAGGAAGTTCTGTCACAAATTGTCCAAAGTTCATTTTGGAAGAAAAGTACAAGAACTATAGTCCAAACTTTCAACTTTGTTCAGTACTTCTTGTACTTTTCTTTCAAAATGAACTTTGGACAATTTCTGATGGAAATTCCTCCTTCTCTAAGAAGGATTATTTGTAATTTAGAATAGATGATCATTAAAATTAATCAACACAAGATGCCTGTCATTTTTAATAATAAAGTATATATATGTGTGTGTGGGTGTGTTAGATATAAATATATGGTAGATATTAATTGTAGACAAAGACTATAAATTCTTATAGTACTTAAAATTAAAATAAAATCATTAAATAAAATATCATCTAGTCTAGAAAACTGGATTTTGAATATTTAAAAAAAATATTTCAAAAAATCTAACAGCAGAAGTTTTTCAAAATTTATGTTACAGGGCTTAAGGCTGTAACAAATGGCTTTCAATAATTTTTCCAGTGACATCTTATGATGTAAAATTCTTAAACAATGGAATTCTATAACAGATGCCAATCTGATGCCAATTTGAATTCATCATCTCATTTCCTGATAAATAACAACTATATTTTGTTTTTGAGGATGATCAGTGAATGGTGCCAATATTCTAGAACCAACAATAAGAATGATGGAATATTTCTACAGTCTTGAATAAACCAGTTGTTCCCTTTTATGAAAACAATGTAAACTATACATTATGAAATGGACAAAGTCCAACAATTATTTTAAGACATTTTTATGTTTATACATTCTTTTTATAGATACAAATATATAATATATAATGTTGTTTAATACTGTTTATTATAAACAGAGCATTTATTTAAATATTTGTATCTATAAAAAGAATGTATAAACATAAAAATGTCTTAAAATAAATGTAAACTATATAAAAATTAATAAAATATCCCTTGCTTGCTTTATTTGATAATACATGTAAAAATGAATAATTGTTGTTGAAAGTGTTCAACATTTTTTCATTAGTATTATGTATATATAATATCAAAGCATTCTCCCACCCATACACACATGTAGATAAATATAATTATGAGTATAAGTGTTTAAATGCATACATACACCTATGTAAATAGACTATATTTGGTCGTCCCCCCACGAGGGCGTCATGTGGCACAAGGCCTTTTTAACGTGGGCATTTCCATAGCCCATTTGAACCCGTATAAACGGGTTCATGGCCAGTTTTACCTGCCCGAAGGAGACTCCGCCCTTTGGCGTAGCCTCCTTCGGGTTCCTCCCGCCCGAAAGCAGAGAGTTAAACCGAACCGTTCGCTCAGAAAGTGAGCGACAGACTATGTAAATAGACACACACATACACACATACACATATATATATATATATATATATATATATATATATACATTAAAATGAAGCAACCCACACTCAACAAAATTACATTTCAAACTAGTCACAACACATTACATTGCATCTAGTCATATGGTTCTGTTGTAATATTTTTTTTTGTGTGATATGATGTCATAGAACTGCATCTTGAAATTATGATCTGCAGCTGCTATTCTGTGACTGTTATCATCACATAGCAATCTTCTCTGTTAACATAACAAAATATCATCTTTGATGGTGGATATCTTTGTACCAATGTCCGAATCACCACTCTAAAGAAGGCTCATGTGAGCCAAAAGCTTAGGACCAACTTAATAAAAAAAATATCCAAATGTTGGACAATTTTTGTCTTTAATTTCACCAGAAATTAAAG